GAAAAAGAAGGAGTTATTGGTGAACCTCACAGTTAGAAAATACAAGCTTAAAAGAGCTAAACAAAAACTCTATACCTCTAGGAAAGCATAATTTAGGAGGTTCCACAGCGTTAGCTGTTTTCTAGAATATTGTGAGAAAATGACATTTCTGGGATCTTGTTTATAGTGTGTAATATTTAAAACTTATAATGCATTTATATTTTATCAGGCCAGTGGGGAGGCCCGTTGGGAACAATTAGGCTGGCAGGAGGGGCAGTGAGGGGCGACTAGGCTGGCCAGGAGGACAGTTGGGGGCAACCAGGTCAGCAGGAGGGTGCAGCTAACGGCAACCAGGCCAGCAGAGAGGGGCAGTTGAGGGCGATCAGGCTGGCTGGCAGGTGAGCGATTAGGAGCTAGTGGTCCAGGATTGTGAGAGGGATGTCTGACTGCCGGTTAGGCACAATTGGACATCCACCAAGGGGTCCCGGATTGGAGAGGGTGCAGGCTGGGCTGAGGGACCCCCCCCCTTTGCATGAATTTCATGCACCAGGCCTCTAGTATGATATATAGAAACACTAGTTTCTGTTTTTTCATGAACTAGTATTTCTCCAAGTTATTAATTTTAATTGTTCTGATGAGTCAAGTATGAGTTCGTTCATCAGGGCTCTGAAGTTAGCACATAACTTTCTTTTAACAATTTTTCAGCCCATGTTTCTCCTTGAACCAGACGATAATAAAGAAGCAATGTATATCAGGCACTGTGCAGTCTCCTCAATAGAAAATGGACATAGGAAAGTAATTACAGATATACACTGGCTGTCGGACACCTTTGAGGTGAGTCTCAATGGCTTCATGGCTTCCTTGTGCTGGATTGAAAATGTTTGGAAGGTTTTGTCCAAAGAGGAAGTTTCAAGTCAACAATCCATTTACATTTACTAGTACACTGTGAAATAACCAGGAAGTGTGCACCCAACAGTTGCGTCACTGTTACCAGACCCATATCTGAGAGTAAGGCCAATGTTTCAACCTCCATGGTTTAAAAGCACTGAAAAATGTAGATGTTGTCAACGTTGACATAATATAATAGCAGAGAAGATGAGGATTTGATACATAAATATAAAGTGTAAATATTTTATAACCTTAGACTGAGGATTTAAAATTTGGAGCAGGCAACTCTGAAGATCTAAGACTAATTTAGGAATATGTAATTTTGCCAAGGCAGCCTTGAAGTGAGTGAGCCCTGAGGCTGGGAGGCAAGAACTAGCTGTGCAGCAAGGGAGCCCAGTGTTGGCATTGCAGTTTGGCTCTGCGGTTCCATACTTGACTCACAAAGTAAATTTTTGTGGATTTGTAAACTAGTAAGATCCCCAAATGTCTTACTCAAGGACACTAAAGGTCTACTGTGTACTTTGAAGGATTAACAAGTGAGATAATAAAGAACTAGAAGCCCAGTGCACGAATTCATGCACGGGTGGGGTCCCTTGAGGTGGCCTGTAGGGATCAGGCCAAAATCCACAGTCCAATGCTGCCTGCAGCTCCAACCTGCCATTCCCACTCATCCCGGCCCCACTGCACCTGCCTTGGGCTCATGCCCAATCAGTCCTGACCAGGGAGAGGCTTGCCCTACCACAGCAGTGCCACATCCCCTGAGGGTCCCAGATTGTGAGAGGGTGCAGGCCAGGCCAAGGGACCCCACTGGTGCCCAATTGGGGCCGGGGAGGGATCGTGGGAGGGCTCCAGGGTGTGTCCAGCCCATCTCACTCAGTCCCAATCAGCTGGACCCCAGCAACAAGCTAACCTACCAATCGGAGCACCTGCCCCCTGGTGGTCAGTGCATGTCATAGCAACTGGTTAACCAGTTGACTGCCCCCTTGTGGTCAATGCACGTCATAGTGAGCAGTTGAGCAGCCTTAGCATATCATTAGCATGTTACTCTTTGATTGGTTAACAGTCAACTGGTCACCAGATTACCGGACACCTAGTATATTAGGCTTTTATTATATAGGATATGTGAAAAATTTGAGCTATGAAAGGTGATTAGCCCTTTAAGGTATGCAAATGGATCATGCAAAGCAGCAATACTTCGAAAAGTTAAAATGGACCAAAATAAATAGCCCAGATATAGTTTCTATTATATATAAAAGTTTAACATATGGTAATGGAGGTTCTACCGGACACTTAGCATATTCGGCTTTTATTACATAGGATATGTGAAAAATTTGAGCTATGAAAGGTGATTAGCCCTTTAAGGTATGCAAATGGATCATGCAAAGCAGCAATACTTCGAAAAGTTAAAATGGACCAAAATAAATAGCCCAGATATAGTTTCTATTATATATAAAAGTTTAACATATGGTAATGGAGGTTACAACCCAAGAGAAGGAACTCCATTTCAACTCATGCCATGCACACAAATTAATTCAGGTGACTATACATTTAAATAACAACAAGATCACAGGAAAATTACAACAAATCAAAATACAATATATTTTTGGAATGGAGATAATTTTCTAAACTAATTTACATTGAAAGAAATCTAAAGCACACATGTAAATTTCTCAATTAAAAAAATAAAGAGCAAATAACAAAATGAAGGAAAATGTGTCCCAAATATGGTACATACAAAATTTCCTGGAAATAAGCAGAAAACATATACTGACTGAAACACAATTAGTATTTCAGTATAAAGATGAAAGTCATTTAGCCTTTCTAATATCAAAGAAATTAATAATAGAGAAACAATAATACACAATTTTGGACCTCTTTGATTTTTTAATGAAAATTTTAAATAATACCTGGGGTTGGAAACAAAGAGATGGTGCAACCCACAAACTCCAACATTGTTGGTTCCAACATAAAACTTTTAGAATATAATTAATCAATGTGGTTCTTGAAGCATCCAAGTTTTCAAACTTTTGACCAGTAATTTATATGTTGGGAATTCACACAAAGAAATAATGCAATTGGTGTCTCAAGATACAAAATTGCGTGCACACCCTGACAAATCATGCTGAAATGTATCCATAAAAAGAGATTGGAAAAAAAATACAAGGTGAATTATATTTAATTTTAAAACCTATTTTCCAAACCTCTGTAATATTTTTTTAATAATCTACACTAATAAAAGAGAAAGATGCAAATTGACCGTCACTTCGAGATGCCCACCAGCCAATCAGGAGTGTCTATGCAAATTAACCTAACAAAGATGGTGGGTTAATTTGCATATGTAGGCCCCGGGGCCTGGGGACAGGCATCCTTGGGCCCAGGCCACTCTGAGCCCGTAGGCCCGGAGCGGGCAGGGTCCCAGAACAACCACTGGCCACTCCGGGACTACGCTCACAGGCGTTGAGCAGCTGAGGGTAAGGCGGGAACATCTCTGGGACCCAGGCACTCTGAGCTGGCTCGCGTGCAAGCAGCTGGGGGCAGGGCAGGAACGTCCCCCACAGCAAGTGAGCAGACAGCAGTCCCCCACAGCAAGCAAGCAGACAGCAGGGCCCTGCTTGCCCCTGGCCCCGGCAGTGAAGAGCAAGTAGGCCCCCACAGAGAGCAGACACCAGGGCCTGTGGTGGCATCAAGCAAGCAGGTCCACAGAGAGTAGAGAACCATGGGGAGCAGTCCTAAGCCATCAGTAGAACATTCCCTGAGGGCTCCCAGATTGGAGAGGGTGCAGGTCGGGCTGAGGGACCCACTCCCCATGCATGAATTTCATGCATCAGGCCGCTAGTTAAAATATAAAACCCCCGGAGCCAGCACATCTCTGGAGTCTCACACTTTCTGCACCAGAGAAGTTCATTAGCAGGAGAGGCAGCATGGGTTCTGGATTGTTTATCAGATGCGAGTGGAGGGTGGCAGCTGTCATGGAACCTGACCTGGGGCAGCCAGAGCAGCGTCAGCCAGGTTTCCAGGGTCTGGCTCCTGTGATGCCAACAGGCCTTCCCAGGGCAGCACGTGCAGCCCTCCCCACCCCCACCCCCTCCTTCACTGTTTATTTTCTGCTGGAACCCCCATCTCCACTGTTTTGCTCATCGATCCTACCAGGACCATAGAGAATTGGGGAAGGTCAGGTTTCCCTGTTGATTTGAGAGTGGTAGCTTCACAGGTCGCACCAAAATTTTTCACCTCATTTGAGAGCTTAACTGGTTGGAATTTGGATCTTCCAGGGCCCTGAGGAACATTAACCCTTCTTGTAACCCTCTGTGTGCTAGCAGAGCTGGGCCACAGTTACTCAGAAAGTGTAGGTGCCACGACATTGGTTGCATGCTGGATGGTGTGTTCTTTAACACTCGATGGATTTTACCTGCTTACCAACCTCATGAAAGCACCTGTGTTGGGTGCCACAAATAATAGTGAAAAACAGAAAGAGCCTAAATGACTAATAATAGTGGATAATGAAATTATGATATGTAAATTTGCAGTTTGCATCTGTATGTTATAAAACTATTAGCATGATTCATGAATACACTTTTATAAGATACAGTTTGCATCTCTATCTATAAAATTATCAGCATGATTCATGAGTACATTTGCAGTTTGCATCTGTATCTTATAAAACTATTAGCATGATTCACAAGCATTCGAGTTATAATCTCAGGCTAGAAATTTACATGCATGTTCATTAAAATGACATAAAAATGTTTCTGTGAAAAAAACTGGAAAGTATATGACAGAAATGCATTTGATTTTAAAACCTGTTTCCCAAATTTCTGTGATAGTATTATGCTCTTTTAATAAAAATTAAAATGAAGAAGAAAAATAAAAATATGTAAAAAGCTGTGAGAAAACAGTCTTTGCTGTTCTAAGTACACAGAACTTACGTCCTGCATATTTTTTTAAACATAGATTAACAGAATGGGTTCTGTCTTTGAGAATCGAAGTGGGATATGCTGCCAACTGGTCACCTGTTCGGCAGATTGGTATGTCTCATCTAAAATGTTACCTACATTGTGTCCATACAACATATTCTTTTTTCTTAGATGTTTCTAAAATCATTGTTTTTTTCTGTTCCTTAAATCTTATATAACTAAAGGAAAGAATTTTATAGATTACTAGGGGCCCGGTGCACGAAATTCGTGCACTGGGTGCTTTTACATCAACATCAGTCACTACCCAGCCTCCAAGTCTCTTTATCATTTCAATTGCCCTGGTGGGCACTTCCACTGGGGATCACAGTAAATATGCTTTTACATCAATGGTCATCCTGTGCTTTCCAATCATTGTGTGCATGAACATGTGCTAAATGTGGTTTCTCCATTGTTCACCCCACCCCAGTCGGGTTCCTTCCTCCTGCTCGTCACAGTGCTCC